CATTATTATTATTGTTTTATTTCCTTTGATTTCTGGTGTGTACACATTTCTTTCCGAATCGGAATAAACTGAAATCAATAGACGTTTGATGACAGTCGTCGTTCAATATATATATATATATATATATATATATATATATATCCTGTCATAGACCGCATATTTTTCTCTAATAAGAATTGTCGAATATAAATAAATATACTTTTTTTTATAAATAAACGGAGCATCTGTTCTACTCAAATACGAGTATTCACTAAAAATTAACTTTTAAGTAATAAAATCAGTCTGATTAATAAACAAAAACTCCACCCCTTTCTTTAGAAATTACTTTATTTATGGTAGATATGTCTATTCCGAGAGTCGGAGAAAAATGTCTGTTTAAAGGAACTATTCAATTTTACTTGACCATTCCTCTCTCTCTCTCTCTCTCTCTCTCTCTCTATATATATATATATATATATATATATATATATAAATGGTATAAATCACATTTTCCACTGACGACAAAAATAAACAACAACAACCCCCCCACATATTTTACATACAATTATTATTATTATTATTATTATTATTATTATTATTATTATTATTATTATTATTAAGCTACGAGTAAGGGACAGCGGATGAAACTCTTTTCAGCGGCTCGTCCAGTCGTTTGCCTTCTCGTCACGATCTGTCTTAACGGTTTTTTTTGGGGGGGGTGACAATAGAATTCATCCCCGAATTGTTCTTGATTTTGATTGGTTCCAGAAATACAGACTCATTTGACAATCCCTTTTTCTTCATCTCCATTTAGGAATGATAAACTTTTGGCCTCTTTTATTTCTTTCTTTATTCTTTTTTGCTTATCTTTTTATGGCAAACCAAAATGGATTGCCAACTTTTAGCTTTCTATTTTTTTATTTTTGAAATAGCGATCTTTATATTTTTTTCTATCATTACAAAACTACAAAAACTCCTGCAGAAGGTAGTGAAGGAAAGCGAAAAGAAAGGACTAAGAAACAACTGCAGCAAAAGGATGGAATACATCGTTGTTAGCAAAAGGGACAGTCCAACATGCAAATTACAAATTGGGGATACTAAAATTAAACAAGTACAACAATTTAAATATCTAGGAAATGTTTTCACGGAAGTCGGAAAATGCAAAACTGAAATCCGAAGTCACTTTGTAATATTGAAAGATGCGTTTAAAAGCGAAGAAGAATATTAAGAAATAGGAAAATTTTGTTAGAAACTAAGAAAAGAATAATGAACTGTTACATCCTCCTACGTAGCAGTGAATACTGGACATTCTACTCCCGAATGAAGAAGAGACTTGAAGCAACAAAAATGTGGTTCTACAGAAGGATGCTGAGTATACAACGGACCGAACATATGAGCAACAATGAAGTTTTATAGAAAATAGAAACAAAAAGGAAACTTACTCTTAACACCAGGAAGAGACAGTTGAAATCTCAAGGATACACAATAAGGAAAGGGAGCTTGGAAAATTTGATACACACAGGACAGATTGAAGGCAAGATTTGTGTCATTTAATCATTATTATCCACCCATCCCACCAAAAAAATTCCCCCAAATTTTTCTGGCTTTAAATAACCTTCAAACGGTTGATAAGCCGTAGAAAACGAATCATTCAAACAATCAAAATTAATCCGTGAGAAGATTGGCCAGCCTTCACTGTTATATAGGAAGACTGATATTACGAAATAATTCATTACTCTCTCCTTCGTTTCTATTGCTTCATGTCTATTCATCCGTGAGGAGATTGACCAGCCTTCACTGCCATATAGGAAGACTGCTATTACTTAATAATCCAGTACTCTTTTCTTTGTTTCTAATGACATTTTTCTGTTTCTTATTAGTCTGTTTAGCTTTTGGAAGACATCTTTCATTATCCTAATGTCCCTTCGGATTTCAGTGTCTCACAATTCTTCATTTGTTAAAACACATACTTGCAGTAACGTGCAGAAGTAGGGGTGGTAGATGGTGTAGATGGTGCGAGGTCACCGGGCAACCATATCGGAAGAGCATTCAATCAAGAATGAAATAAAAATTTAGTTTATATTTAAATTGAATAAAGTGTTTATTTCATGTTTCATCTGTTTCTATATATTTAAAATGTCTTTGTTGCTCAGATTTCTCAATACAGGCCCCTTTGATCTTGGGGCATACAATCAAGGAATTGGTCCCGGGCATCACCAAACTTCACCAAACCTCTGCATGTCACCGCATCTCAGATATTAATATTGTTTATCTGATTGATTTTGGCATCTCCAATTTGTAATTTGCATGTTGGGCTGTCCCTTTTGCTAACAACCATTCATTTTGTCTTCTTGCAGTTAATGTTTAGTCTTTAACCCTTGTTTTTTTTACTACTTTCTGTAGGAGTTGTAATTTCTTTACTGTGTCTGCTATCAAAACTGTGTCTTCTGCATATTGTTGTTAAGATTGTGTTCGCCAATAATAAATCGAGGACTAAGATGGGAGGTCATATTGCGTCAAGAGATGCAGTAGTGTAAACCGGCTTAGTTAGCTGATGTGTAGGCTGTTGTAGGGAGACAATCCTAACAACTCATAATGAGAAGAAATGGGCGTGTCGTGATTAACAAGAAAAGTGCACACTTCACAATTTACATCAAACAAGTAGTACAACATTCCCAAATATGACTAACACACGAGGAAGACAAGCGGATACAATGAAACGTTATGAATAAAAAGGTTATAAAATAAATTCAAATAAATATTAATATATGAGGTTTTACTCGTCTATTTAGCCAACCTCACTAAGTATGTTATGCATTGCCCCTCTTGCCTTCAATCTGTCCTGTAAGTATCAGATTTTCCAAGCCCTCTTTTCTCATTATATGTCCTAAAATTTTCAATTGTCTCTTTCTCAAGTGTCTTTTTGTTTCCATTTTCTTTAAAACGTCTTTGTTGCTCATATGTTCAGTCCATCACATTGTCAGCATCCTTCTGTAGAAGCATATTTTTATCACCTCAAGTTTCTTCTTCACCTATGAGAAGATTATCCAGCATTTACTGCCATATAGGACGACCGATATTACATAACAATCAGGTACTCAATTCTTTCTTTCTAAGGAAATTTTCCTGTTTCTCAATACTTTTCTTAGCTCTTAGAAGGCATCTTTCGTTATGCGAATGTGCCTTTGAATTTCACTGTCGTACATTCCGTCCTCTGTTAAAACACTTCCCAGATATTTAAATTGTACTTGGTTGATTTTTGCATTTCCAGTTAGTAATTCGAATGTTGGGCTCTTCCTTTTGCTGAGAACCATACAGTTCTGTTTTCTTGCATTTGATGTTTAGTCCTTTCTTCTCGTTTTTCTTACACGGCCTTCCGTGGGAGTTCTTTTAGTTTCCTTACTGTGTCTGATATCAAAACTGTGTCATCTGCATATCTTATGTTGTCAAGATTGTGATTGTCGATGATAAATGTTGCTAATTCTCTCTGTATAGGTTGAATAAGTCCGGTAGGAAGACAAATCCTTGTCTTACACCCGTTTAGTATCGTTAAAGAGCGAGTGAATGGATGTTAGAACAACGACAAGGAGATGTAGTTTAGGGGTGGTAAAATTTAGAGAATAAAAATATATGAAAATGTGAAGAGCCATAATCGACCACACCCAAAAACATGGCATATATAAAAGATAAAGAAATTAATTATTATCCGCTGATTTTTTTATTCGAATCTGCAGACATTTACAAAAATATTTTAGACTAAAAGTCTAAGGGAGGTAACTATTTTATTATATTACAGAGGTTATTTCCCTTATCTTCCGTATTACAAGATTAATAGAAAAAGGTGTACGACTGTACGAAATAATACTTAAATTTTAAGCACTGCGGTATTTTTATTTTATTTATTTATTTTTTGTTTTATCATTTTGCCATCAAACTATGCAATAACACAAGGGGTTACTGAGTGTGAAAGAATATGAGAAAAAGAAAAAGCATTAATGAGGAAAAATAAGTAAATAACAGGAATCAAGAGAAAGACTGTAGATAACGATTGGCATTACATTTACATTTTTGAAGAACAAAGTGGACTGGGAATCAACAAGTGAGAAATTCAAGAGAAGAAACTGTTAGCATAGAATATACGGTTACATCCAATAATTTCAACTGTAAAATGATGAGACCTAGTAGCCAATCAAGTACTGAACTTAAATTCGTAAAATCAATGTACCAAAGGGGAAACCTCATCAGAACAATTACTATGAAGATATTTATATAAAAGGCGGAAGGTAGCTACGTAACCGCGGTGGGAAAGTGACTGAAGACGAAATGCCAGGTCAGGACCAATAAAATTACCGCTTCTTTGGATTTTTTTCAAGAAGCTCAAAACAGCAGAAACACAAGACCAGATGTGGCAGCAATATTCAAAACATTGACGAATAATTATGTAAGATAAATTTTGGCGAGAAAAATTGTCTATCACGACATACTGAACTAAATTTCCTAGTAAAAGACGTAGCAATTGTTTCGATAATAATCTTTGCACTTCATGTCAGCGGAAAACGTTAATCCAAGACGGCGAAACGAATCACTCTCCTGCAGGTTAGCATCAGCCATAGTGATGGAAGGCAAAAAAGGTTCTCTAAAAACAGTTGATGTCACCCGTTATGGCATCTGATCAAGTAATATCCATGAATTTCTATCCGTTTAAACCAAACACACGTCCAAGTAACGTTCGTTTTTTGTTTTTCTTTTCTTTTCTTTTCTTTTTAAATTTCAATTCTCGTGTAATTTAATTGATTTGCTTTTTAAGGCTTATCAACCTTTTGTAGTTTATTTAAATATTTTTAGATCGTAAGAATTTTTAGAGATAATAATGATTTACTGATACAAGTTGTACTAATTAACCCATAGCTCGGGGGAAAAGAAGTGGCTGCATACCATTTCCAATGGTATTTACACGTAACGAACTCGACTGGAATTGGAACTCGGCTCTCCGATTTCCAAATCCGAGCCGTTATCCATTGCTCCAGGTATTCCCAAACGGTCACCCATCTAGGTACTGACCAGACTTGACGTTGCTTAATTTCGGTGATCGTTCGAGAACCAGTGTTTGCCTTCTCGTGTAATAATAAATACGGTGTGCGGTAGAAATACCTCCCACATTTTAAACTACCAGCTGTGTGGTGCTAGTGGACTTAGGTAAGTGGAAATGGAATCCTCATCTAGCTAATGGCTTACCAATTTAGCAGATACCGTCATTTACCGTCATGGTTTGGGCTGGTGCACACCGTGCGTTTGCTTTTTAAATATTTTTGGTGAGTATGTAATTGCAACACAGAGAGCTATTCGTGCTCATTTCATGTGACTTCGGAATGATAATGTTCCAGGGAGAAAAATCGATACTGCTATGGCTTGAAAATCTCAGGGCCACAGGTTCAACGCTTAAAAGAAAGCCATCTGGAAGACCTCGAAGCGTTTGAACTCTTCTGGTGATGGCAAATTTTAGAAATCTTCTACAATAGTGTATGGCGAATAGACAGGACCGGTGTAAGGGTCTCGCGCACCCGCGAATCTATGATACGGGGCATCCCAATCTGCTACATCTCAATTTTCAGAAGACAGTATTCATATAAAATACAAATTTTATTGAAACCTAATTATATAAAATAATGGATCATATGCAATTTAGGTGACCAATGCAGCTAGAAAAAATTGAAAATAAATACAATATATCTAAATCCAGATTAGAGACCTGTCATAATAGATCATTCCATCTTAAATCAACAAAGTTTTGTGGAAATTTTTAACATCAACTTGAGATTTTTTCTTGTGAAAAAGTTGAATAATTCTAATACATAAAAAATAGTGAACATTATATAGTGTTTTTTTTTTCCAGACTTAACATGAGCAAACAAATTCACGTATTTGAACAAGAAAAGACACGAAAAGGGCATCAAAATCTACGAAAAATATTCATCTTTTAATAGTCAGTTGTGATTAGTTTAATTCGTAACGTAATGTAAGTAGAAAAATGCAAATATTGATATATAGCGAGGGTCACAAAGCACTGTCCGGGACCATCAGTCAGGTTTATTCTTGGGGGCTTGGAGTAGTACGCACCGGCCCTGTGTGTATACACATATGTACATGTGTTAAGGTTTATGAAAATGCAGCAAACAAAGGTCAGTGGTGAAGAGCATCATGTATACAGACGTATGTACGAGGCTAACGGTATAAGTCGAAACAAAATTAATGGAGACTGCGTCGTAACCGCGAATTGTCGTAGGCCGGGGCAGTCGTAACTCGGGGACTTACTGTATATTGAATAAACAACAAAAACAGTAACTTCTATACAAAAACTCATCGCCTTCATAAATTATCATTTTTTTTACATACTACCATCGATTAAGCTGTCCATATCATGAATATAAAAATTAAGTGAGGGTTCAGTTTACTATGTAAATACATTGTAAATTGATCCCCCTACTCAAGTCAAAGAATAAAGTTAAGTAAGAGAAATGACTAATCAATATAAATAAAGCGCAGTGTACGTGTGTCCGTCCGTCCGTCCGTCCGTTTTTGATCACGGCGAATCATAAACAACCTGAAGTAACAGGGAGTATCTACTGTAGTTACACACGATCAATAATTAAATTAAAAATTAAATAAATAACTCATTTAAAGTTAAATTTAAAAAGTGAAAAGGTTTAAAAATAAAACAATTATTTATTAAAAGTTTAACTTTAATTTCGCTTTTTGTCGCAATTGCAATTGATATCGTCTAATTAAATCGTAATTAAAACTGAAGCGGGGCACTTTTTTCTTTTAATAGCACGCGTACTTTGACGTATTTGAAATAGTGCATAGTTCAGGTTCCCTAATGTCTTTGAAGAGTGTAGGGATCATAAAAGAAAATAGAAATTGTACGCAAAATAAATTTAAACAAACTACGGAGATCGGTTGCGTATACGAAGAAAGATTAGGCCGAATTAAGGTGTCGGATAAAGAGGAAATAATTTTATTATTTCGAAATTCTTACAACTTTTACGTATATAGGACGCTGTAGGTAAATGGCTGAAAGCCCAAAAGCCCTCCACAGAAGCTAACCTAAAATTTGCTTGAAGGGCAGCTTCTAGGCTAGTAATAATAATAATTGTGTGAAAAGGTATGAACTTTATGTTTCTAGGCGGTTTTGAAATTTTCTTATGTAATCAGTGTCGGATTTACCTATAGGCTTAGCAAGCTGAAGGGTCTCAAAATCTAGGGGACCTCCAGCCGAGGTGTATAATATTTTGAAACTCATAGACTTTTCTTACACATGTTGCTATAACGCATTGTTGACGCTAAACAACCCTTCAGTAATTTTCCTTGCATTCCATTTTAGAATAATTCTGTCTTAAGACGATAACTCGATGCTAGCATTGATTTCTTTATAGATTTTTTTGATGCATTTTTTTCAATCACATACTGTATTTAACAATAATATATGTCCTTTAGAGAAGGATTTGTCAACTGTGGGATTTTAAACACCAGTCATTATCCTTGGCTTTATTCAAATTGTTTAATTTAACACATTCATTTTCCTCTATACGTGAGAATGCTGGGGGTGTGTGGAGGGGCTTCACAAGTGGAACAGCCTAGAGTAGAGGTCAGTAACTCCCGGGCCACATCCGGTCTGCGAAGGATTTTTGTCCAGCCCGCCAAGTTTAACACTGGAATTATTTAATTAATTTGTGGTGCAAGTGACAGAAACATATCAGTTGGAGTTAATCACCTTACAATGCGACGAATTTTTAAAATCAAAATGTTATTGCAAATCCACTGCTGACTTCTAAAAGTAATATGTTTTGCCAAGTGGAAAATATAAAAGTCTATTGAATGGTATCATTATTTGTAAGTCCATATTCTTGTCAACAACTTTTTCGAAAATAAAATATCCTAAAATCATTTTTCGAACAAGGTTGGGTGATGGCAATCAGGATGATGTTTTGTTCCTGTTGGCGACAAATATTTCACCTGATGTGGAGAAGTTATCGAACAATAAGCAGAAACAAGTGTCTCATTAAATAATTTGCCATTTTTAGCAGTATTTCATTTGTAGTAAGGAATATGCATTTTTTGCTGATTGTGTTAGTTGTCATCCTGTTATTCCTGCAGTAAAATAAGGGAATTTGTTTAAGTAATATAACATTAACTTTGTTGTTTTTTCTTTAAACCTCCAGACCAAAGCAGTCTTCTGGGTATAGCGGCCTGGTTTAGTTTGGTTTGGTTTATTTTGTTTTACGGCATATCAACCTCAATGGGTTATTTAATGCCGACAACATTATTAGGATAGATTCGTATGAATAGAATATGTATCCTTTGGTTTAGATTGGTTTAGTTTATTTTGTTTTACGGCATATCAACCTCAATGGGTTATTTAATGCCGACCAGATTTTTAGTACTGGTAATATTTAAAAAAAAAATGTATTGCTGGTACTAAAACCTATTTTTACACTTTCGAGTATTTCGACCCCAGTTTGTGGGTTAACTATTTGGCCATAACAGGTACCCTAACAGGTGCTACCACTCCGGGTCAGGGTGGACCTGGGAACACCAGCAATTAAGAGGTGGTTCCATGCTCCTCAAAACCTACTGATTAGAGGCCTTGCTGCTGGATGTAGTTTATCGTCTTACCCAAGACGCGGATGTAGTTTAACGTCTTACCCAGGAAGACATAGCGGTCTGAGATCGAAACAATTTATTATAATAAATTTGATAAAAATGGCCCTCCTCCAAGACACTGCATAGCTATCTGGCCCTCTCATTCCAAAAGGTTGCTGACCCTTGTCCTAGGGCCTCTCTTCATCTAAATCCGCCCTTATATTAAGATTAAGTAAGAATAGGATTTGAATAATATAAATGACAATATTTTAAAAAGTTTTAAGTGGAAATTATTTGAAATATTGTGAGATAATTATTTGAAATTATTGTAAGGTAATTATTTGAAATATTGTGAGGTAAATAAGAATATACTATATCAAGTGGTATGAGCATATTTTGTGCTTTACGGCCACATCACGTTGACACACCGGTTCCCGTACGATCACCGAAGTTAAGCAACGTCAGTACCTAGATGGGTGACCGCTTGGGAATACCAGGTTTCTGTAAGCTTGGATGTTCGTTATATTCAGTTACACGAAAATATCCTTGAGAAAGGTATGTTTCAACCTATTTTCCACCCCACTATGGGTTAATTAGTAAGTCTTGTATCACTAAAGCATTATTATCTAAAAAATGTTTACAATCTAAAAATATTTTCTGGCTTTAAATAACTTTCAATGTGTTGATAAAAGACGTAGCAAACGAATCAATCAATCAAATACTGATTAGCTATATAGACATGTCTTTGACAGTCATTTACATTCTATAGAATATAAATTTATTGAAACTACCGTGGCCACAAAGTGAGGGATCACTTTATGTAGTGATTATAATATTGAATTGATCCCCACTTTATATACACGCTATAATTTCTTGATTGTTTATCAAATTCTGATTAGGTATGAATCACCTCTTCTATCCCCAGCTATGGGTTAGTTAGTAAGATTTTTTATCGCTAAATCACTTCAAAAAATAAAAACCTTCTTATAATCGAAAAATATTTTCTGGCTTTAAATAACCTGAAATGGGTTGATAAACCGTAGAAAATGAATTAATCAATAAAACAACAATATTTTGGGGATTCCGTCGTCGAAAATGAATTTACATAGTAAATTGTACACCACTTTTAAAATTTAGAAAATTATTTTACTTTTTTTTAATATTTGTGACCTGGAGTGCTAAATTTTCGCTTGAGGATGAAAAAGGGCTTGATACTTGAATTCAATTTAATTTTAATAATTATATTGAGGGTTTTGGCTCTCGTTTTTGAAACATGAAACATATGTAGCGAAGGAATCATATTTTTTTAAAAATAATTATAATTTAAGCTCTAATTCTGTATGGAGCACTGTTTTTTTTTTTTAAATAATAAAAAACATACTTAAGAACTCGGATTATTTACCTAAATTTTTCTTTCCTATTTTTTCTACACACACGCACACATATATATATATATATATATATATATATATATATATATATATATATATATATAAAAGAAATATGTTGTAGTGGTTCCAACGAGAGAAAAGTATGTATATTAAAAAGAAGAGAGGTGCCGCAAACGTTTTTGGTTGTAATGTGGATTTATTTAGAAAAAATATTATGCTTTGTTTTACATAATTTTACGACACGGGTTTCTGGTCTCATGACCGTCTTCAGGTAAAAGTGGAGATTTCTACATAGTATTAAAAATAATTAATTTTTCTTCATGTTCAATGAAATATTCTCGATATGAGACATTTTCTGTTTGTGATATATCGAGATATATATATATATAATGTCATTTGCATACAGGCCTTTTTCACTTTATCGCAGCTCATCACTGTGACTACACAACCGAATGATTAAAGCCAGGATACATATATATATATATATATATATATATATATATATATATATATTCTACTATTAGTAATACTCGGTTGTAAAAAACCTTGAATAGCACAACTTGTAAGTATATCAAAACAAATTCGTACCCGAAGAAAAAAATTTGGAAAAAAAGAAAGAACTAGAAACATCCAAACAGAAATATGCCTTAAGTTTTTAGTCCAAAGAAAAAAAAATCGAAGCGAGTAATAAAGTTAAACATAGAGTGTTTAATACGCTAAGTAGAGCAGGGATAAATGGAATAAATCCCAAACAACCTACCTAGGTTTCACCTGAACCGGCTTACCCTGAAGATCCGTTTAGGTGAAACCTAGGTAGGTTGTTCCTAACTCTTTAGGATTTTGTTTATTTTATATATATATATATATATATATATATATATATATATATATATATAATTCCTATTGGTTATTCCTATATTTTCGCTTGAGGATGAAAAAGGGCTTGATACTTTAATTCAATTTAATTTTAATAATTATATTGAGGGTTTTGGCTCTCGTTTTTGAAACATGAAGCATATGTAGCGAAGGAATCATATTTTTTTTAAAATAATTATAATTTAAGCTCTAATTCTGTATGGAGCACTGTTTTTTTAAAAATAAAAAAAAAATACTAAAGAACTCGGATTATTTACCTAAATTTTCTTTCCTATTTTTCTACACACACACACACACACACATATATATATATATATATATATATATATATATATATATATATATATATATATATATATATATATATATATATATATATATCCGAGTGGTTAGAACGTTCGCTTTCTGACCATGAAACCATGGTCGATTTGTTATCGGACTGGATCGAGGTCGATCCCTGTGTGCGGCACCTTTGGAAAGTGCCACAGGATGACCCAAGTCCTGTGTGTGAAATTGGGTAGACCTAACACTTGGGGGCCGTCGATAGATGTGCTAGCAAGAAGTCACAAGTCACCATGTTCAAATTGTTGATCACGCTAGATTACACGCTCTCACCCAGGAACTGTAACTAAGGTCTGCTCAGCATAGTTGGGTGTTGAACAAACACAAAATGTGCTTGAGCAAGCATCTGCAATAGGGATTGGCTAGCTGACCTAGCAGACGGGTATCTTCGAATACGAGTGGGCAGCTATTACATATATATATATATATATATATATATATATATATATATATATATATATATATATATTTAGTACCAAATACGTAGGTGGTATGAATTACTCAATGAGGTTTTTTTAATATAAAATTATTAAAAAAGATAAATCCATGATGAGAGTTCAATGTATAAATTTATATAGAGAGCAATATAAATAAATAAGAAAATGACTTAATTATTCATTATATTATCGGTTATAAATGTATTTTAACTATATATACACACACACACACACACATATATATATATATATATATATATATGTGTGTGTGTGTGTGTGTGTGTGTGTGTGTGTGTGTGTGTGTGTGTGTGTGTGTGAAAGTGTATATAAATATAAATAAATATATATGTGTATAATTATTTATATATTATATACATGGTACTTATTAGAAAGCGCTCAATATCAGAGATAGAGCTAACATAAATATATATATATATATATATATATATATATATATATATATATATATATATATATATATATATATATATATATGCGTATGTGTGTACCTGCCTCATCAAAACGTATACATTGTAATAAAATATATATATATGTATAACTGTTGAAGTAAATGTATAGTAGATGTTGAAATAAAATTATAACTGATTATATGATGAATAATTAAGTCTTTTTTCATATATATATATATATATATATATATATATATATATATATATAACTACTGATACCTCCTGACGATTGGACGGAACAATTACAAAAGTTTCGTCTACCAAACTTCGAGGATCTTAATATAACATCAATCAGCTAAGTGAAAAATTCTATTTATATTAATTCTCTCTCTCTCTCTCTCTCTCTATATATATATATATATATATATATATATATATATATATATATATTCTATATATATATATATATATATATATTAATTCTATATATATATATTAAATTTATCTATATATATATATATATTAATTCTATACATATATATATATATATATTAATTCTATATATATATATATATATATATTCTATATATATATATATTAATTCTATATATATAGATATATATATATATTAATTCTATATATATATATATTAATTCTATATATATATATATTAATTCTATATATATATATATATATTAATATATATATATATATTAATTCTATATATATATATATTAATTTATATATATATATATTAATTCTATATATATATATATATATTAATTCTATATAAATATATATTTATATATTAATTCTCTCTCTCTATATATATATTAATTCTATATATATATATATATTTCTCTATATATATATTAATTCTATATATATAGATATATATTTTATATATATATATTAATTCTATATATATATATATATTAATTTATATATATATATATATATATTAATTATATATATATATATATATATATATATATATATATATATATATATATATATATATATATATGTGTGTGTGTGTGTGTGTGTGTGTGTGTGTGTGTGTGTGTGTGTGTGTGGCTAAAATCTCACTTCCTTTGAGACTTTCTTTATCTTATCAGCATTTGCTTTTTTTCACCTACATTTTTTTTAATCGAGTTCACCCCAAGCAAGGAAGTAAATCCACTAAGACACAAGGGGTTACTGGGTGTGGAAGAATTAGAAAACAGAAAGTTTGTTAATGAGCGAGAACAAAAAAGAGTAACAGAAAAATAGTAGAAAGCGTTTGACATTGCATTTGAATTTTGGATGATTAAAGTTGGCTGGAAGGCATGGAGCCGGTAGATATTTCCAAACACAATACCACATCTCAGAAATATAGACATCATTATTTATTTCATAACTATAGGAAGAAAAGATTGGTTTATGCCTTGATTTATTCTTATAGCTATTGCGCACATCTCGAATTTAGGAGTAAAAATCTGTAAAAAACGAATATACTTTTAACACACTCTAATTATGATATTCGTACATCGTCGCATGTTTACCTAACAGGGATCGAACTTAGAATTCCGTCGTCCTAGGGTAGTCACCCCCACTAATATCACATACTTTAAACATTGACGCTCACTTCCCTAACACATTGGGCCTGGCGAATTAAGTTTAAACATCCGGGACATACAATCGTCTTGGGAGATTTTCAGTTGATGACCAGATGCTAGTGACAACTTTGATCACGGCCTCCCCCTCTCAGTTTCCGTTGATCGATGGGCGATCGAAAGAAAGAGTGTACAAAGATTGAGTGTCGTTTAAAGAACTCTTTATTTCGCCTTGTGTTTGCTTTGGGCACCTGCACACCGGCAGTTGGTATTCCACCTTGACATCCGACAGCCTCTTTTCACAGGCCATGTCTTTCCTATGCAAATGAGCTCATTCAGTAAATCACAGTCGCTATTGTCAGCGCAAACATTTGTTCCAAGTCCCTGGCTAACCACGATTAACTGGATGGCTTCGTATCGTTTACAGATATATCTTTCGCCTGACCCAAGGGTCCGGAAGCGGGGAAGTGATAAAATTAATATAAAGTTTAACATAATAAAAAGCAAATAAATAAAATTCTAAAACAAAGATCAGACACTCATTAGAGATTCCTGGGCGGGTCGCCATTTTTTTTTTTTTCATTTCTTAACAAGTTGATAAATGACTTTCGATTATCATTAAGTGTTGCTGTTTCTAAAGAATCCTTAATTGGACTTTTGAAAAAAAAAAATCAAAGTTTTGTGGGGATATTAAGAAAATGCTTTTCGTATTAAATATTAATCCACCAAACGAGGTCTTATTTAAAAGATATTTCAATTAAAGAAAATCTAATTTTTTAAAAATTAAATTAAAGGCGATGACAAATTACTTGATGTAAGTTAGACGCCATTTTTTCACGTTAGAAAAATCGTCTGCTTGATTGATTTGCGAAGCATTAACATAATTTCCTGTTTTGTTATTTAATTTAAATTTTTTTGTTAAAATGTGTAATGCTAGATAGCACTATAGCCTTTGTTTATTCAATTCAAAAGTTTTCTATCGAAAACAAAAGACAAAAAGGAAAAAACTGAAATAGTGATTAAAGAATAATATCAACATTGTCGATATTTCTTGTAAAAGATTAGGGTATGCAAACTTCTAACACAACATTCGGCATATAGGGGTGTAAAAACCAAAATGTAAGGTAGATATTTTCAAGTAGTAAAAACAAAAATTATTTATTCTTACAATCCTAATTATGTTTCAAGCTTTAACGTAGAAAGCCGTAAAAACAAATTAATCAATATATCTTACTCTTTTTCTTTGTCTCTCTCTGTCTCTCTCTGTCTCTGGCTCTTTCTCTTCCCCACTCTGTCTGTCTGTCTGTCTCTCTCGCTCTCTCTCTCTCTATATATATATAGCTTATATAGCTTATATGTACGTATATATATATAATAAGTATGTTATAAAATCACTACAAAAATAGCCATTTTGTTTCAACACCCTCGGTGTCTTATCAAGTGATGATGTTGAATATAAAATAAATTTTATAGATTTTATTTAAAAATAAAATATATATATATATATATATATATATATATATATATATATATATATATAAGCTATATATATATATATATATATATATAAATAATTATATCTTATAAAACATAATTATATCTGCTCTACTTTGTATTGAGCACTCTTTTTAAGAATAGTAATTGTTGGTTATTGGAATTCATTCCGTATATACCAATTTATATATATATATATATATATATATATATATATATATATATATATATATATATATATATGTGTGTGTGTGTGTGTGTGTGTGTGTGTGAAAATATATAGAAAAGAGGAAGGACTGGTTAGGTAAATAATACAAAATCCCTTAGTATTTTAGTTATTATTTTTAAAAATAGTGCTCGATACAAAAGTAGAGCATAAATATAATTATTTATTTAAAAATATGATTCCAAAACGCTACATAAGAAGTCTCATGTTTCAAAACAAGAGCCGAAAACTTCAATATAATTATTTAAATTAAATTGAGTTAAAATATGCTCTTTTCCATCTTCAAGCGAAATTTTTTTCGCTTGAAGATGGAACAGAGCATCTTGCAAATTCGGCTCCAAGGATTATTGGCGTCTCTGCAAGAGCGTACTTAACAATAGCAAACCCTCTGTACCTCCGTTGTTCAACCAGTTTGAGGTTCTGGCCTCTTCTGCCGACAAGGCTGAATGCTTTGCTCGGAAATTCACATTCAATTCAACGCTCGACTCTTCCGGTGTACACACACCCGATTTCCCCCTTAGCGAGTTGCACATAACCCCGTCATCGGTATTGGGCATTATCTCTAAATTAGACCCCCAAAAGGCTAGTGGTAGAGACGGGATACCAGCCATTGTCCTGAAGAAATGTCCGCTTGAACTGGGACTTGCCCTCTCCAAATTATATAACTACTGCCTCAATGAATCTTGTTCTCCAGCCTGTTGGAAGTCCTCATTCCTGTTTTCAAGAACTCTTGAGACCCTTCTGACCCTTCTAATTACCGTCCTATCAGTCTCTTACCACTCTTCGGTAAAGTCTTTGAAACTTTAATCAACGCCGAAGTGGTTATGCACCTTACATCCCATAATCTGCTCTCCGATAAGCAATATGATTTCCGCTTTGTTCGTTCTACAGCTGATGTGCTTACGGCCATAACTGAAATTGTTTACGAAGCACTTCATAATAACGCAGAAGCTCGTACCGTAGATATCTCCAAAGCGTTTGATAGGGTTTGGCATGCCGGCCTTCTTCGCAAGCTTCAGGGTTATGGAATTTCAGGTCGATTGTTTGACTTAATACACTTATTCCTGTCAAACCGTGTATTGAAGGTCGTTCTCAAAGGATTCTCCTCCAGCTCCTATCCCACGAACGCAGGTGTTCCCCAAGGCTCCATTCTAGGCCCTACTCTGTTCCTTATCTTCATTAACGATCTTCCTGACGTCATAGATTCCCAAGTAGGCATCTATGTGAACGACACTACTATTTATTCCTGCCTCAAAAACAAATCTAGTGTCGCTGACAAAACTAACCTGGCCGTTTGTCTTGAAAAGGACCTCCAATCGGTTGTGAACTGGGGCAGGAATTGGCTGGTTAACATTAATGCCTCAAAAACAAAACTGTTCTCTATTACTCACCACAGAGAACCATCCCTGCCTCTCATTAGAATGTCTGACCTCAACTCCGCGAGAGCACCTCACTGCGACTGCTCGGTCTCACATTGTCTGCTGACCTGAGATGGAACAATTACATTGAATCAATAGTTTCGTCCACCGCAAGGAAAGTTGGCTCCCTGTGCCGCGCCAGGAAATTCTTCCCGCCGGAGTCGATCCTTCAAATCTAAAAATCAACCATTCGTCCTTGCATGGAGCCCCTAATATTTGTCTCAGGGTTCTCGATAAAATCCAGAGTCGGATATGCAATGTAATTGACCCGGATCTGGCATCTCATCTGCAGACGTGCCGTTGCCTCCTTCTGTCTTTTTTACAAATACTTTCACGGTAACTGCTCCGATGAGCTGCTTTCGCTGATATCCAGACTTCATGAATTTAAGCGTTCTACTAGGCTGGCATCTCGCTCACACCCTTTCACTGTCGAAACTGTTAAATGTAGCCGTCTCTTCTACTCCAATAGCTTCATGTCTCGCACTTCTTGCCTGTGAACTCCCTTCCCTTTTCTTGTTTCCCTGATAGCTATAATCTCCAACTATTCAAATGTAATGTCAACCGACGTCTCCAGATGCCTTGATCTATCCCCTACCCTTCTCTTCATCCTTTCTTCTATCACTCCTCTTTGCTCTCTCCCCAACTTTCTGTAATCCCTTGCGTGCTAATGGCTTCCCGCCTTGCTTGGGGTGAAACGCTCAAAAAAAAAAAAAAAATAAAATAAATAAATAATAGGCCGTAGCTCAACATATCATACCCACTATTCCCTGTGAGTGCCAAATTCGCCAAGCCTTCCTTTCTCATTATGTATCATAGAAATTTCAGCTGTCTTTTTCTGATTTTGAGTATGAATGACTTTTTAAAATTTTGTTGGAAACAAAAGAAAAGTGTGCTGAACTATAATGTAATATCAACCCTTCTATATAGCAGAAGATGCTGGACAATCTCCTCACAGATGAAGAGGAGACTTGAGGCTACTGAGATATGGTTCTATAGAAGGATGCTGAGAATACAAAGAAAAGAGTGCTTAACTGCTATGTAATATCAATCCTCCTATATGGCAGTGAATGCTGGACAATTTCCTCACAGATGAAGAGGAGACTTGAGGCTACAGAGATGTGGTTCTATAGAAGGATGCTGAGAATACAAAGAAAAGAGTGCTTAAATGCTATGTAATATCAATCCTCCTATATGGCAGTGAATGCTGGACAATCTCCTCACAGATGAAGAGGAGACTTGAGGCTACAGAGATGTGGTTCTATAGAAGGATGCTGAGAATACAAAGAAAAGAGTGCTTAACTGCTATGTAATATCAATCCTCCTATATGACAGTGAATGCTGGGCAATCTCCTCACAGATTAAAAGGTAACAGAGATATGATTTTATAGAATACCATGGAAGGAGCATGCATGTAACGAAGAAGTCTTAAAGGAAATATGAAAAGTTTTCATAGTAATTCTAAATATTAACACGCTTAGCTTAGTACTGCCCGGAGTCAAATGATATGGAAATTCGAGGAGGGAAAATTGCTTTTTGTCAATCTGTCAAGAGTGGATCACTTAAAAAGCTGTCACAATAATCGCGATGCAGGGGTACGCTCGATTTTATGGTTTCGCTTTTCATGAGTTCAATTACCGACAGTCAACTCCAGAAATAAACAATTCCTGTAAGTGCCAAAGGGCAAAGGTTGTGACACTAGCAATTCGGATATGCCAAAACGAATCCGTGACGTACTCAATTTTTCTAACTTCTTTATTAAAGATTTCTCGTGATATAGAAAAAAATAAACGTACATTTTTGTATAGTTCTTAATTTGAACTTCATGTAACACACGCTGACGGTAATTAATTATATAAAGTAAAGTGATAATTTTAAATTTAAATATATGGGAAGATTTAATTATCTGTCTATATTTCTGAAATGAGGGATTGTAATTATGTACACGATTTACATTGTTCGGATTGTGGTCCTCATTTTTATTGTCATATTTGCGACGTTTCGGTCGTTGTACACTCCGGCCTTCTTCAGGTGATATACGTTGGAATTTCGAACCGAACCCTTTATTTAGTCCACGGGGTTAGATTACTAGAACAATCTACCTCAGAGTACTAAATAAATGGCTTGGTTGAGTATTCTGACGTATATCACTTGAAGAAGGCCAATGTTCGAAACGTCGCGAATATGACAGTAAAGATAACGACAACAGTTCAAACAATGTAAGTCGTGGATATAGATTTAACTATGTTGGAAAATTTAAATAACTCGCAGGTATTTTAACAGAGTGCGAAAAATGTTATTCAGAAATCCGAAGACGGAGTAGAAGGGGAAATACTTTTTAGAACCTAAGCAAATTATTAAGACATTGACATGTTTTTTTTTTTTGTTTGTCAACCTCTTGCAGGTTATTTAAAGCCAGAAAATAGTTTCAGATAGTAAGAATTTTTTGAGATAACAATGGTTTGGTGATCAAAGCTACTAATTAACCCATAACCTTGGGGGGGGGTGTTCATACCTTTTTCTTAGTATATATGTATATAAATGACAGGTTATTGCAGATTATTTAAAGCTAGAAAATATTTTTAGACGGTAATAATTTTGTGGGCAATAATAATGATAGAAGCCATTTTTCGATTCATGATTGAGACATGGCAGAAGAAATCCAGCAATAGTCTACCATTACTTTTGGCGGTAGGTTGCTTGCCAACCAAAGCTTATAGCACCCAGTTTCTCCTACTATTTAACCCATAGCTGGAGGGAGAAGTGGTGGTTTCATTCTTTTCCCAAGGCTATTTGCACGAAAGTGAATATAACGAACGCGACTGGAATTGAAATTCGACTCGACGATTTCTAATTCCGAACCTTTATCCATCGCTCATCCAAGCTTACAGCACCTAGTGTTCCCAAGCGGTCAACCATCTAGGTAGTGACCAGGCTCGACGTTGCTTAACTTCGATTTCTAATTCCGAGCCGTTATTTATTACAGCCCCCACACAACGAAGCTTACAGCACCTAGTGTTCCCAAGCGGTAACCCCTCCAGGTACTGACCAGGTTCGACGTTGCTTAACTTCGATTTCTAATTCCGAGCCGTTATTCATTACAGCACCCACACAACGAAGCTTACAGCACCTAGTGTTCCCAAGCGGTCACCCACCTAGGTAATATTTTTGAAGGAAGTCCAAAGTCGAAAGTGTGCATATCAAAATTAAAACCCTTTTGAATTGATAATTCAGTACGCTTGGATTGGCTAAGAAATCTCTTTGTCTTAAGTGTGTCTACATCAGCAAATTTAAATATTACAAAAGAGCAAGTATTAGCCGAAATAAGAAATGGTAGATGATTGCACTTAGAATATTCGACAAATCGCGAAAGAGATTCTGGTTTGTGAAGGAAATTAGAATAAATGCGAGAAAATAATTTTGAATTAAATTTACGAACACAAACATAGCTCAGCCTCTATCTATCTATCTATCTATCTATCTATCTATCTATCTATCTTCATAGCTCATACTCTATCTATCTATCTATCTATCTATCTATCTATCTATCTTCATAGCTCAGCACCTATCTATCTATTTATCTATCTATCTATCTTCATAGCTCAGCACCTATCTATCTATCTATCTATCTATCTATCTATCTATCTATCTATCTATCTATCTATCTATCTATCTTCATAGCTCGGCATCTATCTATCTATCTATCTATCTATCTATCTATCTATCTTCATAGCTCGGCATCTATCTATCTATCTATCTATATCTATCTATCTATCTATCTATCTATCTTCATATCTCAGCATCTATCTATCTATCTATCTATCTTTTGTGATGTCAACGAACACTCGTTGCCACCTTTATAATACCAACGAATACACGTTGTCACTTTCGTAATGCTCGTTGTAGTAGTTGTAATCGCACATACAACTATAATACGCCGTTAAACAATACTGGTGTCAGACGCCTTCGAATATTACTCGCACTAATAATACTCGCTCGATAATACTCGCTCGATAAGTAACCCGTATAGTGATCTGAATAGAGAAACAGTATAGTCAATAGACTAGAGAATAGCGGTCCGTATAGTAACAGCGATCCGAATAGAAATAGAGGATAGACTAGAAATGACGATACAAATATTAATAGAGATTAGACTAGAAATGTAGATCAATTAGACACCCCCTACCTCCCATATATGCGTTTTCTCTATAGTCATGTGGTCTACTTAATACAATAATGGAATTGACTGTGTTTGCTCACTGGCGACCTATGTTCAAAATCAAGTGTCGGTAGCGACACTTTATTCCTATCTATCTATCTATCTATCTATCTATCTATCTCAAAGAAGTCGTATCTATCAATTTTTCTCTCCATACATATATCTCTATCAATTTCTTTTAATCCATCTGTGTAAATGTTTGGTGATATTTGCCTTACATACATCTACATACATAAGTCTGTATATTTCCGTCTCAATTCCTTCATCATATCGATCTATCTATCTATCTATCTAGCTAGCTAGCTAGCTAGCTAGCTGGCTAGCTAGTTAGTTTTGCTAGATAGACAGATAGCCCAATTTGTTCATATCTGTCTATCAATTTCTCTCTCTTTTATCTTTTTATCTATCTATCTATCTATCTATATATATATATATATATATATATATATATATATATATATATATATATATATATATATATATATGTTAACAGAAATAGGTAATGGCTGAGGATTGCATTAAAATATTCAACAACAGATATTACATCATTTTCGTTATCCCTAAGGGTGAATTTCTAAATATGAACAAAAAGGCAATAGAAATACTTCTGTTCCTAACGTCATATTTGTGCTAAGCAAGCTTTTCTGCAATAAAGACAAATATTAAAGACAGAAATCAATCACGTTTACAATCCTTGCAAGAAGATTTTAGAGTATGCCTGTTCAAAAGTCGACCTTGCAAAGAAGATATTCTAAAAAAAATCGTCAAGCTCAAATATTTCACTAAATTTTAAATTATACTAACCAACCGATGGCTGTAAGATCGAAAAGGAAGGACTAGATTGAACGCGATCAATACCCGAGGACCCCAAACGTGGAATTAGGCAAAGATCTACACAATCTCAACGGCCAAACCGGCGGCAAAGGGCAGTGCCAATTGGACTGGTGTAACCAAAGCTATCCTTGACAGACCAAGCATCCGACAGCCCGATGTAATCGTATTTGTACGATCTCGCCAGTCTAAATTCCCTTTGACCCGCGAAGGAGGCGCTTCTGGCCAAGTGTGTAGGCTTCTCCGTCGTGCAGTGTTGTCCACTAAAATCAAATTCATGCGAATGGCCTCGTTAAAATCTCTTTGATTCACAGCCATATCCGCCACCGCTAACCAGTGGGGGGAGGAGGAGGAGGAAGGAAATAGTGAGAGAGGATGAGGACCCCGATTGCTCCGATGCGAGCGGATGCCGACAACAATATGCTAAACATAAATGTCTTTTAAGAATTTAATAATGTTTTTATTATAAATTATGGTTTGGTTCGGTTTGTTTTTCGGCACATTAAATAACCCATCTTAATGGGTTATTTAATGCCGACAAGATTTTTATTGCTGGTAATATTTTTTTTCAAAAATGTATTGCTGATTTTTTTTTCTTCAAAAAATATATTGTTGGTATTTCTGGTAATATGTTTTTCCAAAAATGTATTGCTGACAAAAATAATAATATTGGTGGTAATAATTTTTTTTTAAAAATGTATTGGTGGTAATAATTTTTTTTTTAAAAATGTATTGCTGGTAATATATTTTTTTTTTCAATCCGTGCTGGGTATGAGGATAAAAATGTATTACTGATAATATATTTTTTTTCAAAAAATGTATTGCTGGTAATATTTTTTTTTCAAAAATGTATTGCTGGTAATATTTTTTTTTCAAAAATGTATTGCCGGTAATATTTTTTTTTTCAAACAATGTATTGCTGGTAATTTTTTTTTTCAAAAATGTATTGCTGGTAATATTTTTTTTTTCAAAAATCTATTGCTTGTAATATTTTTTTTTTTTAAAAAATGTATTGCTGGTATAATTTTTTTTTTTCAAAAAATGTATCGTTGGTAATATTTTTTTCAAAAAAATGTATTGCTGGTAATATTTATTTTTCTCCAAAAATTCATTGCTGGTAATAATTTTTACAAAAATGTATTGCTGGTACTAAAACCTATTTTTACACTTTCATACCGTTTTGACCTCAGTTTGGGAGGTTAACTATTTGCTCATAGCTGGGACCCTAGCAGGTGCTACCGCCTCGGGTCAGGGTGGACCTGGAAACACCAGCAATTAAGAGGTTGTTCCACGCTTTTCAAAACCTGATTAGAGCCTTTGTTGTCGAATGTTATTTATCGTCATACCCAGCACGGATTATAAATTATAATTAATTATTTTGTTTGTGTTAATAAATCATACTACTTTTTATAATCGTAATTTAAGTCTGCCGCGGAATTTAAACTATAGATTCAAGTGTGCTGTGGGATAAGAAAAAAGTTGAAGATCGTTACTAAATAGAGTACCTATAAAACTCAGAATTTCTATGTAAGATCTGAAGCTGTCCCAGTCAGCTTTCGTGTACTGAAAAATCGTATCCCGTGTACGGTGGTAAAAGCTTCCCTGTGATAGATATTGTCGTAGTGGTTACGGTGAAATGTGGCTGCAAGTATTCGGGGCTGAACCAGGACTGGCTGTTCAGTTTTTGCTGGAGTTTTTTCTAGGATATAAAACTCTTCAATCCAGAAAGAATCTATTCCGAGATGGTGGAAGCAGTTTTGGGGGCATTATGCTTGAAGAAGCCCGAGAGAGGAGCTTTCGCCATGTAAGATAAGAAGCTATCCCAATCGGCTTTCGTGTACTGAAAAACGGCGCATCAGGTGATGTCTTTGATTTGGTATCAACTTTGACACTGACTAGTGAACGATATGAATTCCCCGGGGCGGGGGTAAAACTATCAGCAAATCATTTTTCAGAGCTGAAAAAGAAGAAAAACATTATAGGTGGTGTATGAGATGCATGTTATTATTTAAGTTAAAATCTCCGCGGACGCCGGGGGAAAATTGATTTCCCCCGGGTGCGGACAAGACGTTACTACATTTTTGCGACGGCTATTTTTTTTATTACAATAATGCTCACTCTGTAGTAGGCGCAAGAACAACTCAAGATAGAGAGTAACTGAGTAAGAGCCACAGCTTGTGGCGATGTAGGGAAGAGAATGGTTAATCCTAAATTTGACTAGGTTAAGATTGTTGTAATCAGGGAAGCACCCTCTTGGGAGTCAGTTCCACAAAACAGCAGTTTGTGGGAAGAAGCTGTTCGAGTGAAATTTACTTGTCAATGGAATACGAAGGGAATGAGGGTTGTTCACTACAATGGGCGTGACATAGCGGGTCTTTGCTGTGAAGGTTGGAACTTCTGGAAGTAAGGAATGTAGTTCGTCAAAGCATCTTCCATGGAGCATCCATCTTTCATCGCTATGATGGAGCAGCGGAAGAATTGCGGCGTTTTGACTGTGAGGAAAAATAATTCATCACCACAAGGACGCGGAGACGCTTTTGGATTTTATCAAGACTGCAAAAGTAAGATAGCACATGCCCATATATGGCAGTAGTACACCATTTCTGTGCTGATCTAGCCCTTGTAAAGACGTGGAGAGGCTTTCGGACTCTATCGAGATTGAAAAGTCAAAAAAGGGTATCTCCTTCCTGTCCATATGTGGCAGCAGTATTCCATTTCTGGCCTGCTCTGGTTCTTGTAAAAACGTGGAGACGCTTTTGCATTCTTTTCGAGATTGAAAAGTGAAGGCTGTGTTTCGTAGTCTTTTAATAAATTTAAGGATGAATTAACTGCATTTTTTAAGCGTAATACGTATATTTTACTTAAAACAGAATAAAAAATAACGTTTTATTTACGCACGGTATTCTGTGAGGTCAATGAACTGAGTAATTCTACCCTAATCACTAATCTAAACTTGTTGAATTTTTTAAAATTTCCTTTTCTCTCATTCTAGGTTATTCTTACAGTGAAATTATTTATGGAAATGTTTTAATATGGCTAAGTCATATGGAATGAAATATTAAGCCTTTGCCATTTTCCTTATTGGATGTTCTTTCATGGCCATTCCTCAACAGCAGATTTTGGTTTATTTAGGAACGAATTAGACATGGCGATTTCAACAAACTACTGACATATCATTTGCTTTCTGGAATGAGTTTTAATGTATTTACTTCAAGAAAGGTTTTTTTCTTTGAAATCTTGTTCATTTTTAGATAGCATTTTACCCATAATCGATTGTAGCCCGGGTTAAAGAATCAGAGTCAAATTTGAATTTCAATCGAGTTCATTACATTCCTTTACGCACTAATATGGCTGGGGGGAGTATGACACCAACTCTTCTTCCCCTAGCTATGGATAAATAGTAGGACAGACTGGATTCTATAATCTTGGGTGGCAACCGGTCTAAGAGAAGGAAAACTCTGAATTCAAAACTGTATGTAGCTAAGGAATTTTCGCATTGACTAGATGATCCCGACTACGGTCAACTCAAAAAAAAGCGCTCCTAAAATTAAAAATAAAACCTAAAGCAATACGGAAAACAAGCAGTTATTTGTTAATTATGTCTATCGGTATTTATGTTTAAAAATAACTTTTCCATAACCTTATATAACAAGTAATTAAAGAATATTTTTTATTCCATGCTTTTTATTAAACTTAGTATAATGAATGATTTTATTTATATATATATATATATATATATATATATATATATATATATATATATATATATATATATACTAGCAGTAGAGCCCGGCGTTGCCCGGAGATGTAACAGTAAGAGATAGATCAAGTATCGACCATCATAAAGACTGAAAAATAAAATTGACAAAGATTATTGTTTAAGGTTGACGGACACGCATGTCTTAGTTTTTTTTTTGTTTTGTTTTTGTTTTTTACGAATTGGTCAAACCCAAACTCAAACAAAAACATTGTTTTCAATCGTTATGAGTCTACCGATTGAATAGAATTTTATTATAAACAATTGTCTTGTAAATGGAATTTTTAAAGCATTTTGAATGTAAAAATAAAGAAAAAAGTGTGCAAGACAATAAGAAACACTACCTGCCAAAAAAAGTGAAGTTTTGTTGAAATCGATTGAAAAATGTAGGAATTCTGATCCCATATATAAACGAACACACACACACACACACAAACAACCTGGGTTGTATAATAAGTATAACTCGATATGAGCTGTCCCCCTTTCATTCTCGAGACAGCGATGCCTCTTAATCGTGTTTTCAAATTGATTTCGTGCAAAAATAATTGTGTTTTTCCAATTTTTGGCGCTGTCAGAACCACCGCAAGGTTGTCC